TTAGTAGATCTAGAAATCTAGAGATACTATGAGATAGATCTAGTAGCCTACTAATACTAATAACGAAGTGTATACTCGGAAGAAGATTTTTCTCCCCAACGTCTCCACTTAGTCGGCAAAAGATAGCTCTGCGCATGCGCAGTGACCTATGGCTAGGGTTAGAATAAGGGTTAGGGGAAGGATTTGGGATAGGGTTAGGGATAGGATTAGGGCTAGGGTTAGGGATAGGATTGGGGCTAGGGTTAGGGTTAAGGATAGGATTAGGGTTGGTGTTAGGGTTCTGCGGTTGTAAACACACGCAGTACCATCGAAAACATCGCAGCTAAGGCAAGTCGTAGTTTCTCTCCATTGCGCATGCGCGTATTGCATGCGTATCTTATTCCGGCTAGAATTGGCCAGCCTTAGATAGGCTTTTCGATTCGTGAAGTCTAGGTCTCGCGGCCACCGTGTTTTGAGCGGACATAAAATATCGAATCATTTCTTTCTCATGAAGTACATGATACTTATAAATAAGGATCGTATCGTAGTCGGATATATTTGTATCGAAACTGCCCATGTATTTACGGGGCGAATAATTCTGATTTCTTTCGTTGTCTTTAACGAGACCGACGAGGGAATATCACTCTTATTGAGTCTTATATAATAGCTTGTGCTTGAAGTCAAAATAAACTAAAGCAAGTGCGTATATAATTGACTTTTTTGTTTGTACATAATATTATAACATCTTCACTTTGATATAAAATTAGAATTGTATAATAAATCAACGTTCGAAACAAACCTTTGCCCGTACAGATGACCACATTAAACCTCCAAGGACGCCATTTTATAATCTAAACGCCGATTCCGGAAAAGGTGAGCGTTTTGACGGACTGATTGATTGAGTAATAATAAAAACACACGGACGTAGTGGGGTAAAATTAATAATTATGCCGATGGTTAGATGAGAAGATCTCGTAATAATAGGGCCTAATAATCTAATATTAATAAATAATAGTCATCATAACTCTTCTCTTAGTCTTAGCTAGTTAATTATTAATTAGCAATAATTAGGCCTACATACCTAACCCTCGCCACAAGTCACTGCGCATGTGCAAAGCTATCTTTTGCAGACTAAGTGGAGACATTGGGGAGAAAAATTAATCTTCTTCTGAGTAGTCACTTTGGAGAAAGTTAGATGAGAAGATCTCATAATATTAATAAATAGTAGGCCTAGTCATCATAACTCATTAACTCTTCTCTTAGCTAGTTAATTAATAATTATTAATTACATACCACTTCCAACAGTTTTGTGTTATTTTATTACTTCTGGAGTAATTCATAGGCCTACCTGAATTAATAATTTGCTAATTTAATTGCATCAGGGCATTAAAATAAATCTTCTGGAAGGGGGTGGGCTGGGTGCTTAAGAAATGTCACATTCATAGTATGTTATTTTGTCATTCTTTTGGGGAAATTGTGTTTTTTGTAATGGGGGATGGGACATAGTGAGATTTTGGGTGGCGGCTTTTTATGACATTGGTGTTTAGTGAGAATAACTACTAATATGTCAGCTACCTTTTTGTTTGCTGAAGCTTGTTGATTATACTACACTAACATTGGGTTTCACTAGAATTATAGGCCTATATATTTTTACTGTTATACTAATTTGGAAAAAATAATTTATAATAGTTAGGGCCTATTGGTCAAAACATTTTGTACATTAGGCCTACTACTTGTTGAATAAAATTAGTGACAGAGCAAAGAAAAAGCTAAAAAATTCTACACATTTAAAATAACATGGCTACCAATACCTATAAGAAAAATAAAAACCAAATTTTAGGCCTATATATTTTTAGTCGTCACAACACCACATTTTATGTCCACATTGAATAAGAGACTTAAATTATTCCCTTAAAAACTCGGCTGTTCAATTGTCATTATGTTGTTTTTTAAAGTAATTTGTATAGAGAGGTTGTTATCCAAAAATTAAAAATGATGATCTGCTGTGTGAAAGGCTGTTGTACTCGAACTAAATTCTAAATAATTTCTTAATTCCACTGCAAAAAATTATATTACACCAATCGGAAAGAGATCGACAGCTATGAGAGTGTAAACGCAATCAATTTTTGGCGAATATTTTATTTATAGAGGTGGTGTGATGTTTCGACACGATGTTTAATCAGGTACGGACAGCAAATTATAAACATTTTAGTTAGGCCTATTAAATTAACTCAGAATAATTTTTTATAATGTATTAGGCCTACTAGATCTATAATAAAATTTAAAATATATTTGGCTTCACAAATACTAAGAGACAAAAAGTAAGAATAAAATTTTAATTTAATTAATTAATCAGGCTTAGGTCTATGACTGACTATGACTGACTATGGTCTAGCAGATATAAAGGAAATACTCTGACATAGATTTAATTACTGGTGAAGTATTCTAACTTTCAGCTATCAATATACTCTTGGTTCTAGTTATTCATTAAGTAATTATAGTCTAATATTAATAAACTATATTACTATACAATTAAATAATTGTATTTACTAAACAATTTAGTGATAGCAATCAAAATAAATGTATTGGTTGAATGACTGGTTCCATTAACATTAGGCTAGGGTCTAGCGGATATACAGAAATACTCTGACATAGATTTAATTAATCTAATTAAATTTAAAATAGCCAGGCCTACTTTAGCCTAGTCTTGGCCTATATTTTTTAAATTAGTATTAGCTTCTTTTAGGCCTATATCTTAATAGGTAAAAAAGAGCAAGTAGTAAAATATCTTTTTTTTTTACATTTGTATCTGATACATGGTCAATCTATATTCAATATAAACTACTACTAGATCTAGTAATTAGGCTACTATAAGTGCCTTTAGCATGATTAGATATTAGTAGTACTACTAGATCTAGTCAGTCAATATTACAAGTAAGCACATTATTGTACAATGTAGTAGTAGTATGTTTTAGTTGTAATATTTCTGCTATTCAACTAAGCCAGGTAAAACTACTATTCATATCTTATCTTGGATATGGATGTAGGTAATAAAAAAATATTCAATGCAGCAGTAATCAGACCCATTGGATATTAACTGTCAACATGAACATTAATTTGAATTTAAAAATGCACTGACCTACACAAAGTGTTATTTTTTAAAATTAATTTATCTAGTTCATTAAGATGTGCTTCTTTTGTTGTTGCCATTAGACTTTTTAAAGGTTCAGAATGTAAATTTTTAAATATAAAACAAAAAAAATCAATTCATTTATTCTGTTGTTTTTTTTATTGATAATTTTACATTACTACATTAGAAAAAGTTTTGCATATCCATCCATACAATTGGAGCAGGTGGCAATAATGAGTCCACCTTTGTCACTCAAAATCCATGGCTCAACACAACAGGCTTTTATAATGCTTTCAGTGAATACCCAGACCTGCAAAAAAAATCAAGTAGGCTTACTAATTACCCTGCTGTGGCTATAATTATAAATATAATTCAAGCAATTAAAATTATTGATGTCTGATGTACGTGAACTTAGTATGAATAATTTAAAAAAACCTTTTAGGCCCATTATTAAATATAGTAGTATGTAGTCTAAATATTTTGAGTAGCAAATATAGGTGCTAACATTATGTACATTCAGAGAGAAAAGGCAAAATTTAAGAAATTGTGTGATCTTAAGTCATGCTTTAAAAGTTTAAACAGTGTTCATAAAGTAAATGGTGTTTCATAGTTAATGTAGTGTGACTTGAGTTAATCATCTAGATCTATCTACTATCTACTGAGTATCTAACACTTTATCAGTGTGACAGCTTACAAGTGCAGTACTGGGCACTAGAATATAATATAAGAAATTAAATATACTAACTACTAGATCTAAATAATAAAGAATTATCTTACTTTGGCCACAACTGCTAGCCCTAGGCTTCCAATGTCTTCATAAATAATCATATGTAAAGTCAAGTTAAGTGCATTTTTGTGTATTTAAAATGATCTATCATACAACTAAATCTAAATTCTATAATCTTGGGTGTTCTTGAGTCTAACTCTCTGGAGTTGTGGCTTCCACTTTTGATTGAATAGATTCCGATAGATGTTTACATTTTGGTCAGTTATTTATTATATTCATATTGTCTATCAGCTGGACAAAAAGCAAAATAAAAGGTTCCTGAATAATTAAAGTTTCTTCAAATATTGTTGCTGTTCTGCTGGTTGCAGGTTTTTAAAATAAACTTACGACTAGCACTATAAAATACATAGAGAAGACCAGTGCTAGGCTAGGGCTTCAACATGGTGGCGGATGTAAACAAGTGTGCAACCTCTCTATTAGTATACAATTCATAGTGTAGGTCTTGACCCCCTCCCCCCTACGTCACACTCGTAGGGGGGTCCATAATTTTGTGACGATGTGGGAGGGGGGTTCCAGATGTTGCGACGTCACATTTTTGCATTATAAAAAAGCAGTGCTAGAAAACGAATTTTAGACGTTATTTTGCATTTTAGATAACTGTTTTAATAAATTGTAATAGTTTAGACAAGATTTTGGAAATATATCGATGTTTTAAAAAAATTCAACTGCAATTTTGAGGGGGGGGGGGGGGGGTTGTAGGTTGTGGTGTGACACGATTTTATGGGGGGGGGGGTCTGGCTTTTTGTGAAGACGTGTGACAGAGGGGAGGGGGGAGGAGGTAAAAATCGTCAGAAAAAGCGTGACGTCATTTATGGATGACCCCTAAATAGAATCTAGATCTAAATCAAATTTGAATGAAATAGTCCATTTCTTTATATTCTAAAACTCGAAGATGACACCATTAGTGTTGTGTTCTTTCCGTAGTTAAAAAAAGCCAAGCCAGTTGATTAGAGCAACAGTAATCCCCTTCACTACAATTGATTTAGTTCAAATTTTTTCAACTCTCCCTGACTAATAGGACTTGAATTTAAGTGAGCGACAACAAGAACTTACAAAACTAAAAAAACTTAAAGTACAAATAAGCGCCAAGCTACCTGAAGAAAGCAAGTGTTTATTAAGCTGTTTATGACAGTTTAGAACTGTAATTAAAATTAATTTTCAAACTTTTAATACATATTTGGATAAGATAAGCACTTATTACTTACATTTAAAAACTAACAAAAGCAAATCAAGTTTTGATTTTTGTTATTAATAATATCCCAGTATTCCTATTTTTTTAAATAATTTTAAGAAACTGGTAGCTTAAGATATTAATCTGCAGTCCTGATTACTTTGCATTACTGGTTGCCTATTTTAAAATTACATCTGACTGAGTAATCATTAGTAATCAGACTGATAAAAGTCTGGCATGTGTTAACAAATTTTGCCATGTTATTAGTAATATGTTGTTTTGATTATTTAATCACCAGTTTAACATTTACATTTTTTTAATCATCAGTTCATATCTAAGAAGCTGTCCAGCATGGAGGTGGAAACAGATGTGTTAGCTGCAGGTTCATCTACTGTAGATATACAGTCAAATGAATTGACAGAGTTTTCATCTTCTGAAGATTTGAAACCAGATCTATCGACCATATTTTCATCTTCTGCTGGCATCAAAACAGAATTATTGACATTTTATAATTCTCAGAATATAAAACTTGACATGACATTTAAAACCACTCAAGATGTTAAACCTGATGTTACACCAGACTTTTCTTCTTCTGCTGACATCAAAACAGAATTATTGACATTTATTAATTTCCAGGATATAAAACCTGACATGTCATTTAAAACTTCTCAAGATGTTAAACCTGATGTTAATTCAGAATTTTCTTCTTCTAATGACATAAAACCAGAATTATCATTTTTTAATGTTCAGGATATAAAACCTAACATGTCATTTAATAATTCTCAAGATGTAAAATTTGAAATTACATGTTCAATTGAAAAAAATAATAAGAAACCTGCTGCATCAGCAGTATTTTCAACATCTGAAAATTTAAAACCAGAATTATCAACTACTGAAAATTTAAAAGAAGATTTCACAACAGAATTTTTATCTTTTGAGGATAAACAAGAAAATGGACTTGAAGAAAATCTACAATTGTCTGGGGACAACGGAAATAAAATTGTTTATTATAATCCAACATTTTCTCAAAGTTCTAAAAGTAATATGCATAAAATTGTTCATTCTGAAGATAAGCCATATAAGTGTGAGGTCTGTCTTAAAAGGTTTTCTCAAAGTTTTCATTTAAGAGAACATAAAAATGTTCATTCAGGAGAAAGGCCACATGAATGTGATGTTTGTTATAAAAGGTTTTCTCAAAGTTCTCATTTAAGAGATCATAAAATGGTTCATTCAGGAGAAAGGCCACATGAATGTGATGTTTGTTATAAAAGGTTTTCTATAAGTTCTAATTTAAGAGTACATAAAAAAGTTCATTCAGGAGATAAACCACATGAATGTGATGTTTGTTATAAAAGGTTTTCTATAAGTTCTAATTTAAGAGTACATAAAAAAGTTCATTCAGGAGATAAACCTCATGAATGTGATGTTTGTCATAAAAGGTTTTCTAGAAATGCTGTTTTAAAAAAACATAAAAAAGTTCATTGTGGAGATAATCCATATGAATGTGATGTTTGTTATAAAAGGTTTACTCGAAGTTCTAACTTAGGTAAACATAAAAAGATTCATTCAGGAGTAAGGTCACCTGAATGTGGTGTTTGTCATAAAATCTTTGTGGAGAAGAAAGATCTATTACAACATAAAATTATTCATTCTGCATATAAACCACATGAATGTGATGTTTGTCATAAAAGGTTCTCTAGAAATTCTGATTTAAAAAAACATAAAAATGTTCATTCTGGAGATAAGCCACATGAATGTGATGTTTGTCATAAAAGGTTTTCTAGAAATTCTGATTTAAAAAAACATAAAAATGTTCATTCTGGAGATAAGCCATATGAATGTGATGTTTGTCATAAAGGCTTACTCGAAGTTGTACTTTAGGTAAACATAAAAAGATTCATTCAGGAGAAAAGGTGTATAATTGTGATGCTTTACATAAAATCTTTGCAAATAAGAATAAACTATTACAGCATTAAAAAGTTCATTCATTAGAAAGGCCACATGAATGTGATGTTTGTCATAAAATGTGATGTTTAATATAATGTTTTCTCAATATTCTAATTTAAGAACACAAAAAAAGATTCATTCAGATGAAAGGCCACACATGAATGTGATGTTTGTCCTATAAAGTTTGTTTGTAAGTGTGATTTATTAAGACAATTTTGTTCATTTGGGAAAAAAGCCATATGAATTTGATGTTAATCCTAAACGATTTACTCAGAATAGTTTAACTACACATGAAAAACTTTTTTTGGCCATAAATGGTTTTTTCAACGTTCTCAATTAAGTGCACATGAAAAAGTTCATTTATGAGACAAGCTAATATGAAAGTGGTATATGTCATTAAAGGTTTTCTAGAAGTTGTAGTCTAAATGATGTTTTACATAAACGATTTTCTCAAATTTAAATACTCTAGAAAAAAATTCTATATGTAAGACAGAAATGTTTTCTTTTAAATTTACTTTATATAGTCAAAGAAATTCATCATGACTTAAAACCAATTAAAAGTCATTTTTTAACATAAACATAATATCTATGGTAAATTATTATTATTAAATTTCTTAAGATTTTTCTCTGCACATAACTTCTAATAGTGGGCCATAGTTAATAAATATTTGCATTATAAAAAGATTCTTTTGTCAAAGAGTATACCTCATCAATTATTATACATACTCTAAAAAGAAATTGTATTCTGACTGTAAAAGGAAATGGCATCCTATTGTCAGCTGCATGTGTACATTTTTTCTTTAAGTATCCTACTTCTTTTTGTGTTATTTGTAAATATGTATGATAGGAAGTAAGCTATCACGTTAGGGACCCAGGGTTTTATTTTTATACCAGCATGGTCTTGTTCAGGCCACACAGTTAATTTGCCTGTTTCAGATTATATAAAATTGACCATGCACATTCATTGGGATAAGGAAGTTAGCCAATTCTGATCAAACCAATTACACATAAACAATAACTGAAGCTAACTAAAATAAAACATGATGTTCAAGTTCAATGTATTATTTACATTTACTAGATGTTTACAATATAAGTACTGTAACCAGTAGCATACGCAGGAGGGGGGGAGCAGGGGGAGCTGCCGCTCCCCCTCTTGCCATTTTCAGCAAAGTGGTGCCTTTTTGGAAACTTTTTAAACTCAAAGTTTTAAACAATGATATTTGTTAAAAAATATTTTTGGTCGGCACATCTATGTAAATCACAAGATTTCTTTTCATGAAGCAATTAAGCATTATTGTACTAGTCTAGTAGTGTCTACGTTTACAACACGTATTAACAGCTGCATCAGTTTGCCATTTTAAAAATAACCATTACGATGCATTGCAATGTTTAAAAAAACCTCTACAGTAGTACCACTTGGCAAGAGGGGTGTTAAGTTTAAGGCAACTGTATAATGTATTTGCTTACGAATAATTGAATTAGAAAATGTTATACATAAAACTTCACACATAATTACTTTATATATACAGTTTGAATCGTGTGATTAATTTAAAAAAAAATTACAATACAGAAACAAATACAACTGATGTGGCACCTCTATTTAAATTTACTTATGAGCAAACTGCGTAGTTGTGGGTATATTTTGACAAGGTCAACAACGTCATCACGATGAAGTGGTAGTATTCTTACAATTTGGGCGATAGTGATTACGATTACAAATTATATGAAACAGTTACTGTAATAGATTGAGATAATTGTATTGGTATTATATTTATATTGTTATCTTGAGTGATGTCCCTTACATGTTGTTATCTATATATAGTTGTCTCTGGCCACTTCCTTCCTCTCTTTGCATCATGGCTGTCTGTAAATAAAAGGCTGTTAACACCAATGTGGCTCCTCGTCAATCTATTACATTTTGGCGACGAGGATGGGATAAACATCTACTAGAAAGAGCACCTACTTACGCAAAAAAGAGGTTTGCTAGAGCTTATTAGCTAATTATTTCTAGAATAATGGCGCTGTATGGCCAAATAAATCAATTTGATTCGAATGATGAAATCATTCAGGATTACCTAGAGAGGTTAAGCTTTTACCTAGAAGCTAACAACGTGACGATAGAAGCCAAAAAGAGAGCTGTTTTGTTAACAGTCATAGGGCCTCAGCAATTTAGGCTACTAAAAGACTTATGCGCACCAGCTAGTCTAACTACCAAGAGCTTTAACGAGCTGAGCAAATTGCTAACAGACCACCATGCGCCTACCCCATCAAAGTTTCTATGTCGAGCTAGATTTGACAGTAGGACTTGTCAACCAAACGAGTCAATATCAGAATATGTTGCTGCTTTACGTCATTTAAGTAGATTCTGTGAATTTGGAGAAACGCTGTCTGACAGATTATGTGAAAAGTTTGTGACAGGTGTAAACAGCCCTGATATTCAAAGAAAGTTGCTGCTCGAGTCAGATCTAAAATTGGAAAAAGCAATACAACTTGCAATGTCATTCCAGCAGTCATCAGATGCGGCGAGATCTTTAGCACCTTCAGAGATCCATGCAGTAAACAGCAGGTTAGTCAATAAACATCAACCCCATCAGAGCATTCCAACTTATGCTAAACAGCCTGCTCGTTCAAATCCTAGATCTAAATCTAGTAATAATTATCAAAAATGTCATCGATGCAAGGGTCCCCATGCATCTCATCGGTGCAAGTTCAAGTCTGCAACTTGTTATAAGTGCAGTAAGCAAGGTCACATTGCCAAGGCCTGCTTTGCAAAGTCTTCGTCTGTTGCTAAATCTAGCCAGTCAAGACAGTACCGCAACCAAAGGCAGCACTATGTTAACTCTCACCAAGACTACCTAACCCAACCAATGAACCACTCTACCAGTGAAAATGCTCAAACTGATTCGCAGCCGGATTTCAGCCTGTTCTCTGTGAAATCAATAAGTCATGCTCCCATCAATGTACCAGTTAATATCAACGGTAAGAGCATCAGCTTCCAACTTGACACTGGAGCATCTCTAACAGTCATCACAAAGAAAGATTTTGACGCTGTCACAGGAGGATCAGTGCCTCTACAGCCATGTCACAAGTGTTTAACAACATACACTGGTGACAATGTTCCGGTAATAGGAGAGTGTATGGTTCATGTAAGTTATAATGGTCAAAGTGTTAAACTTCCTCTTCTTGTGGTTGAAGGAAATGGACCGCCATTACTAGGTAGGAACTGGTTAAGTGATCTTAAGTTAAATTGGGAGAGTATTTGTTCATTGAAGAATGTAAAAGAATCTAGTCTTACTTCACTAGATAAAGTTATATCTGAAAATAAATGTGTTTTTGGTAACTCTGGATTACTAAATGATAGAACAGTGAAGTTAAGCATTAAAGATACAAATCCAAGATACTGCAAAGCTAGAGTTCCACCTTATGCAATGAGGAATAAAATTGAAAATGAGCTAAGTAGATTGGAATCTAATGGCATTATAAAGAAGGTAGACTATTCCGATTGGGCGTCGCCCATTGTGCCAGTGTTAAAGAAGGATGGTTCTATAAGAATTTGTGGAGATTATAAAACCACACTGAATAAGCAAATAGAGCTAAATAGGTACCCTATACCTAACATTGAGGAAATCTCTTTGAATTTGGCAGGAGGAGACAAATTCACTGAATTAGACTTTAGTCATGCTTACACTCAACTAGAACTGCATCCAGATTCAAAAGTCTATACGACAATAAACACACATAAAGGACTCTACCAATATGAAAGACTATGTTTTGGCATATCATCTAGCCCTGGAATTTTCCAAGCTGTCATGGACAGTATTTTTAAGGATATTCCAAATGTTTGTGTGTACTTTGACAATGTGTACATAACTGGTAAGAATGACACTGAACATCTTAAAACACTTGATAAAGTATTGAAAATTGTTGGTGAAAAAGGTTTAAAGATAAACAAAGATAAATGTCAATTCATGTTGACAGAAATTAGTTTTCTTGGTTATATATTGAGCAAACAAGGCATCAGACCTCAACCTGAGAAAACAAAAGCCATTAAAGAAGCACCCAAACCTGGAAAATACCCAACAACTAAGAGCTTTTTTGGGCTTAATAAATTACTATGCAAAGTTCATAGGAAATCTGTCTGGTAAACTATCACCACTGTACAAGCTGCTACAGAAAAATGCAACTTGGCACTGGGGTAAACAACAAGATACTGCTTTTAATACAGCAAAAGAGGCTTTGTCTTCTGACACCTTACTAACTCACTATGACCCAGGGAAAAGACTTATATTAACATGTGATGCTTCACCAGA